CATGCTGCTCTTGGTATGGAATAGCTTGTAGGTTATCCTTTCTGGCTGACATGCTTGTGTCTTAACAAGGCCTTTTGGGGTACCAGGCCTTGCCTCAAAGGTGTGACTAAAGAAAGGCGAGCGAATGCGCTTTCCCTTGAGTTCAGGGCAGGCTTTCTCAGGGTGGCTCTGCCCTGTGGTCACTGGTCAGCCAGGGAGCATGTCCTCGTCTGCCCTGGGGGCTGTTGTGGTTCCGAATGACGGCCAAGGCACTGAGCTCCTGACCTGCCTTCGAGTCATTTCAGAGAGAGGACGCTGCGCGCAGCCTGGGTCACGCACTAACCGGCGCTTCTGGGGGCCTCTGGCCAGGCCCCCGCCTCCCCCAAGCGGCAGCGTGAAGGGGAAGTACATCCCGGAGCACTGCATTCCACCGAGAGACCGGGAGTCTAATCGGCTTTAGTAAGTGGCTCCTGAATCAGCAGCAACTCACACAGCAACTGGAAGGCTCCACAGGAGCTGCAGAGCGGGAGGCTTTAGGCCGCAGGAGGCTGGGACAAAGACATTAAAAGAGTGAATTCTTTCAGACAAGGACACATCCCCTTAGAGCACTGGTTTTCAACCGGTGAGTCGCAAGAATTTTTTTTTAAATATATATTTTATTGATTTTTTACAGAGAGGAATAGAGAAGGATAGAGAATTAGAAGCATTGATGAGAGAGAATCATCCATCAGCTGCCTCTTGCACACCCCCTATCGGGGATGTGCCCGCAACCAAGGTACATGCCCCTGACCGGAATCGAACCGAAGACCTTTCAGTCCGCAGGCTCTATCCATTGAGCCAAACTGCTTTCGGCTGCAAGAATGTTTTAAACATGCGATGCCAGGCTATTTAGTCAGGGCACTGGCCTCTTTTCCCTTAGAGCAGTGGTTCTCACCCTCCCTAACGCCGCGACCCTTTAATGCAGGGTGACCCCCAACCATAAATTTATTTTCGTGGCTACTTCATAACTGTAATGTTGCTACTGTTATGAATTGTAATGTAAATATCTGTGTTTTCCGATGGTCTTAGGGGATCCTGCTAGCGGTTCTCAACCTGTGGGTCGCGACTTTGAATCAGTAAAACCGCTGCTGTAGAGCCTAAGACAACTACATTATGATATTTACATTACGATTCATTACAGCCGCAAGATGACAGTTATGAAGTAGCCACAAAAGTAATGTTATGGTTGGGGGGCACCACAACATGAGGAGCTGTGTTAGGAAGGTTGAGAACCACTGCCTTAGCTTGTCAATTTAAAAAATGACAGTAGCCAACACGACAGTCACCACCCAGTGTGAATGAATCAAAATGATACCTATGTTTTTGTCCGATCAGAAAAAAAAAATCATTTTCGGTGTGCCGCAGAATTTTGGTAGCTTCTGTGTGCCGGGAGATTTTTTTCTTTGAAGGTTGAACTTTGCTGCCTTCGAGGGGAGCAGCGGTCTCAGGTAGATTACCGTTGTTGGCCATGCAGTCCCACCGATTGGTTTAAAATTTCACCCCGAGAAGAGGCTAAAACTGCAAGTAAGTTCGTTGTTAAGTTTTGCTTGGGTGACGTGGCTTAGCAACAGTGACTATCTTGGCCTTTTTAATTTCTTTCGCACAGACGTATCCACCAAGTGGTCGCACAGTGAGTGAAGGGCCGCATCGGTGACACAGGCCACAAAGGCCCGGGCCCGGTGTGTGAGAGCAGAACACGGGCCTGAGGAGGCTGCGGACCCCGGAGGGGGACCCTGAAGCGTGAGGGCCGCCTGGGTGATGAGGATGGCCTGGGCTAAGGAAGCACCGCACACAGCGGCCCGGAGGCTGGGAGGGGAGAACCGGCAGCAGGGGCTGAGAGGCAGGAGGCCTGGCCACGTGTTTCTTACCCTGCTTTATTATATATATATATATATATATATATATTATTGATTTTTTACAGAGAGAAAGAGAGGGAGAGAGAGTAAGAAACATCGATGAGAGAGAATCATCAATCAGCTGCCCTACTGGGAATGTGCCTGCAACCAAGGCACATGTCCCTGACCGGAATCGAACCTGGGACCTTTCAGTCTGCAGGCCGATGCTCTATCCACTGAGCCACACCGGTTTCGGCCGTGCTTTATTCTTAAAGCTGCTGGTGAGTGTGCGTTGCCCTCCGGGGAGGGCAGCACGGAAGGCTGGGTCAGATCTGCGTTTGGAACCCATCGCTCTGCTGCAGTGCGGAGGATGCTGCTCAGTCTGCACTCTGTGCCGGCCGCTTCCGGGCACGAGGATGTCTGCACTCTGTGCCGGCCGCTTCCGGGCACGAGGATGACAGGTGTCCAACCGGCTGCTTCCATCAGGCCTCCCGCCTTCCGGGGCCGGCCAGAGGGTGGCCTCCTGCCTGCTCTGTCGCCGGCACCGGGCACTCTCTGGGACAGAAACCCTTTGGGCAGAGCCGTCTGCTTTCTGGTTTCAGGTGCGTGACCTGCACAGCAGACTCCCTTACCTGAAGGCACATTTTAAAAAGACTTGCCACCACCCTGCCTGGTCCTTTTTGCACCAACGCCTTGTGCTTGGGAGTGCTGAACAGAAATGCTGCCTCATTCAGTCCCACCACAGCCCTGGGAGAGGGGGTGTTACTCTTGTCACACGGGTTTGAAGAGGTTCAATGAAGTCATTCTGCTACGAAATGCCCAGGAAAAGGACCCAAGTCCTCTTCGTGACAAATTCCTTCCAAAATTCCTTTGGACAAGCCCCCGGCAGGGGCCAGGGCGGGCCCTTCCCTCCCACGGTCCCCTCTGCAGAGGCCGCCCACCTCCGCTGAGCTCTAAGAACAGTTACTGAGGCCGAGCCGCCTCCCTCTCTCCTGTTACCGCCTGCCCGCTGCCAGCTGCCCTCCTCCGTCCTCACAGGCCTGCCAAGCAAACAAGCATAACATTAGCCTCAAAAGGAATCTCTGGGCAGGTGACTCACACCTGCCTTTGTCCTCAGTTTTATTCAATAGCCTGGTAACGAACAGCGAGATCCATCAAAGCATGAATAGTGAATAGCAAGATCCATCAAAGCACTGAACGGGGGTGTTGTGAAGGCTTGATAGCCCCAAGGAGTTCAAGGCGAATTGCTTTAAAGTTCCGTTCTGATGGCCCACGTGCTGAAGATGTCTCTTCCAGCAACACAGATGGCTTTAGCCTAGGCCCAGGGAAACATTGCACTCCCACAAACAATGATGCTGATTCTTCTCAAACATTCTCTCTCTCTCTCACTCTTCTCTCTGAAATGAATAAGCAGGTAAACCAGACAGGTTCTTAGAACCTGCACCCTTACAGGACGTGTTGGGGGTGGGGGGAGGCAGGATTGGCACCAGTTGGTAAGGTATTCTTTCTGCTCTGGTAGGAGAAGGTGGAGTAAAGCTCTAACTTCCCGTGTGCATTCCGATCCACCCCTGCCTTTCTTTCGGATGCTTGTATCTACCACTGAAGAGGAACCGGTGACAGAGGGCCTGGGGAAGGCCATGGGGAAAGGGAGGCAGAGGGAAGATGGAGAACTGGTGCAAAGACGGAAGGCAGGGAGGGGTAAAGTGGGAGAAAAGAGTCCATCGGAAGAGGGGCTGCAGGAGGAAAGAGAATGGTTGGAAAGGACGGGGGGGGGGGGGGGGGGGGGGGGGATAAAGAGAAACCGGCAGCGGGAAAGCAGAGGGAAGAATGAAATACTTGCATGGGGAGAGGAAGCTCTGTCCTTACCAGGAAAGGCCTGGCACCTTTACCAAGGCCCCTTCCCAGCCTGTCTCCCTACGCCGCACCTCCGGGGAGACTGATATATATGTATATTTCAGAGAAGGGAGAGGGAGAGAGACACATCAATGATGAGATAGAATCATCTATTGACTGCACCTCACCCTCCACACACTGAGGGTTAAGCCTGCAATCCAGGCATGTGCCCCGACCAGAATGGAACCCGGGACCCTCCAGTCCACAGGCCCATGCTCTATCCTCTGAGCCAGACCAGCCGGGGGTCCCCGCTGCTCCTGAGCACTCCTGCTCTAGGCTCCTCCCCCAGGTACCTTCCTCGCTGGTCCCTAACGCCCTCCGGGGGGGCCGCCGCCCCCTCCGCGCCCTCCGGCCCACGGCAGCTCCCCGCCCTCCATCGTCCCACCGGCTTTATTGTTAAATAAAGATCGCCGCCCACACTCTGCTTAGGCGGCTGTTGTCGCCCGCCCTCCCCACTCCCCAGGCCCTAAGTCCATGTGGATAGGTCTCCAGTGCCCAGCCTGACACCTTTTTTTTTTTGGGGGGGGGGGTCTCAATATACGTTGAATGAGTCACGGAGTGGCTGCAAGTGGGAGAGAGTAGCCGTGGAGGTGGGTTCGAGGGGGATGTGTGTGTGTGGGGGGGGTGCTTCCAGTCCAACAGGACAGCACACTTTGCCCTTCTCTCTCTCTCTCTCTCTCTCTCTCTCTCTCTCTCTCTCTCTCTCCCTCCTCCATCTCGCCCTCCCTAAACTCAGAGGCCAGGGACAAGAGACGGGAACGCGGGACCGGATGCAGAATCCAAACTGACCCCGCTCCCATTCCGGTGGAGCGTGCCCAGGCCGGAAGGGCCGAAAAGGCGGAGGACGAAATGCACTCGCCGCGGTGGAAGGAGCGTGCAAAGCGGAGCTGGTAACAGACGTCACTCCCTGGCCCCTCTCCCCGATTCCCCCTCCCGGCCCTGCCGGGCGCTCCTCCGCCCTCCCTCCGCCGCCCGGGCCGCGGCTCGCTGCAGGCACGGCCCCTCTGGAGGAGACCTTCCTCTGGGCTTGACCTCCGCCGCCGGGGCGGCCCCCCAAGTTAGCCCCGGCGGAGGCCAGGCGGCCCCGCGCCCCGCGGAGCCGCGAGGGCGGCGGGACTACAACTCCCGGCGTGCCGAGCGCGGCGGCGCCTGCGCGGTGCGGCGGCCGGCGGTCTGTTCTCCGCCGAGGAGGAGCGGGCCGAGGAGGGAGGCAGCGGGTGAGAGTTCAGAGTTCAGCAGCAGCAGCCCGAGCCCATGATTCCCATATGCCCGGTGGTTTCCTTCACCTATGGTGAGTGCGGGGCCGGGGCGCCGGCGGGGCGGCGGCGGGGCGCGGGGGCGCGGGCCGGGCGGCCCGGGCGGCGGCGGCGGGGCGTGCGGGTGAGTGAGGTGCGAGCGCGGCGGGCGGGGCGGCGGCGGGCCGGGCCGGAGGGCGGCTTCTCACGGCGCCTCTCTCTCTCCCTCTCTCTCTCTCTCCCTCCCTCTCCCTCTCCCTCCCTCCCCCCCGCCATGGGACCCGCTCGGCGCCCGCCGCAGTGCCCAGCCGGCTGGGGGAAGATGCCAAAATGGCGACCGGCAACTACTTTGGATTCACCCACAGCGGGGCGGCGGCGGCGGCGGCCGCGGCCCAGTACAGGTAACGGCTCCGCCCCCGGCGCCGGCCCTTCCCCGCCCCCGCCCGCTCCCGGCCCGCCGCCCCCACCCCGCCCGCCCGCCGGCGGCGGCCCCGGGGCGCCGGCGCGGGTTTGGGGACGTGGAGGGCCCTCGCGGCGGCCCCGCAGCTAAGATGGCCTCCCGCGGCCCGCGCCCGGCGCCGCCCCCGCCGCCCGCCCGCCGCCCGCCGCCCGCGGAGGGGGTGCCGGCCGCAGGCCCAGCGCCCGGCCGCCGCGCCTGCGGGGCACCGGGGCTCGCCCGGCCCGCGGCCCGGCCCGGCGGGAGGGCGCACCCGCCACCTGTGAAGCGTGGAGCGGGCGCCGGGGGGCCGCGGCCTCGGGCGGGCTCCGTGCGGCCTCCGTGCGGGCTGCGTCCCCCGGGGCGAGCCCACCCCCGGGGAGAGGGAAGTGCAGGGAGCGCACCTAGCTCCTGCCTCGGCGGGAGGGTGTGTTGTTGTTGTTGTCATCATCGCTGTGACTTTCGGGTCAGTCTGAGACGGATTCAGGCCAGGACCCTGGAGGGTTCAGAGTCAGGCCCTGAGCGTGTGCCTGTGCGAGGGCCGGGCATGCGGACCGTGGGGAAGCCCGCCCGCCGTCCCCTGTCTCATCACTGCGCGGGCGGTCACTGTGCAGGCGATCACTGTGCGGCCGATCACTGTGCGGCCGATCACTGCGCGGGCGGCCGGCCGAGTGCAAAGGGCATCCTCAAAGGCCTCCTCGGGAGCCAGAGACCTGGGCGCCCATCCCGTTTGCTCTTGATTTTAGGACGTCGGGGGTCATCACTTGACCCGGGCTTGCTTTTTCCCTCATGTAAAAAAAAAAAAAAAAAAAATGAGGCTCTCGGTCATCTTTTGGGGTTAACATTTGTAATTCTGAGAAAGCTGCCTTATGCCATGGAAGTTCTAAGGTGCCATTTATTGTAAGGGGTATCATGTTCTATATCATCAAAAATGTGCTACCGATTAAAACATGACAGCGCTTACCTACCCATTGATTTTAAGAGATGTTAACATGTATAAATGTGCCATTTATTGAAGAAGTTGGTATTTACTAATTAATGAATGCCTTTGGACTTTTTTTTTTTTTTTAACAACTCTCTTATCTGGACATTTATGTTCCAAATAAAGACTGAGATGACAGGTTACTGGGGCAAATTAACAAATCCTCTGCTAACAAGTTGTAAACTACTAGTGAAGCTTCAGCTACTTTGTTAAAAGATTTTAGAACTGAAACTTGTGGAGAGAGGGAAAAAATAGCTACTTTCTTTTTCTGGGAAACAAGATAGCTAATCAGCATCTGTGCCATAAATCCAGTGCTACCAAGTACTTTGTGTTCTAGATGAGTCTGTATATAACCATTAAACATTTAACTTGTTTTACCCAGAATTTTTCTGTTAAAACGGGCAGAGTGATAGCATTTTAGTTTATTTACTGAAAATGTAGTGGGTTTGTTGTTTGTGGCAGTTCTGAAATGTTTTCCTAATGCGAACCTACAGATAGAAAGGAGGGGAGCAAATGCCAATTTAAAGGTAATTATTTTTAAAAATAAAATAGTTGCATGTATAATTTTTATCCCAATATAGGAAACTATGCAATAAAATCCGTACCTAATTTTTCTTTGGCTTTGAATCTCATAGTTTCTCTAAACTAACAACACTCTAATTATTGCTATATATATGTATAGTCAGAATACTTTTAGAAATGTTATGCATATATTGGCAAAATTAATTAAGATGCTCTGTCCTCATATATAAATATAGTACATGGAAATTGTTTGCTTTTGATAGGAATAAGTGAGGCTCAATAAAACTAATGCTTTGGCTTAACAAAAATGAACAAGTACAGTAAACTCCTGATTTTGCAGACCTCAATTTAACAGACTTCAGATTTAACGGACAAAATTTCAAGTCCATATAGTATGTGGAAATTAACATCGGATGTCCTTCCAAACGAAGCTGCGGTGGTGGGGGATCAAGGGGAGGGCCAAGCAGAGGCAGTTAGAGGCGATCAAGTAGGCAGGCAGTTGAGCAGTTAGGAGCCAGCAGTTCCGGATTGCAAGAGGGATGTCCAATCTGGGCTAAACTGGTGGACATCGCCTGAGGGGTCCCACATTCCAAAGGTTGCAGGCTGGCCAGACGGCCTCCCCTCCTTCTTCTTCTCCTCTCCCTCCCCCCCAATAATTTTTTGCACCCGGCCTCTGGTCCTATATAATAAAAGGGTAATAAAATTGACCAAATGGCAGATGACCGGTCGCCATGATATGTACTGACCACCAGGGGGCAGCTCCTGTGTTGACCATCTGCCCCCTGGTGGTCAGTGCTCTCCCACAGGGGGAGTGCTGCTCAGCCAGAAGCCTGCTCACAGCTGGGGAACGCAGGAGCCTCTCCCACCTCTGAGCAGCGCTAAGGAGCAGCTAGCTGAGCGGTAAGGAGAGAGGAGACCTGGCCTAAGGCAGCAGGTGGACATATCCCCAAGGGGTCCCAGCTGAGAGAGGGCGCAGGCCAGGCTGAGGAGACATTCTCCCCGCCCCCTCTAAGGCCCCCCAGTGCACTGGGCCTCGAGTAGTTACATGTTTAAATCCCAGATTCACTGCTGATACACAATGTTCGGAGAACGATCAGCACACAGTCACACTGTATCACTTGATTACTTTGTATCACTCACAGTGATTGGCTTTATTGTGCTTTACATGACTTTCTGCAGCAGTTTTAACAATGTTCCATGTGTGCTAAGCCAGCCCCAGCCATGTGCATTTTTTTACTAGTGATGACTGGTGCATTTACTAGAAATAATCAGTATACATTTAAAATTACAGTAATACGAAAATTTCTGTGAAAGTGAACTTCTCACACATACATAATCTTAATTACACATTGTGTCCATAAATTACAGGTGAACTAATTACAGGTGAACTAACTTTTTAACATGCACATTTGGAAAAATTATTTCAGCCCTTTTTAAAAAAAATATATTGATAATTGATTTCAGAGAGAAAGGGAGAGAGAGCAAGAGAGAGACAACATCAATGATGAGAGAGAATCACTGATGGGCTGCCTCCTGCACATCCCCTACTGGGGATTGAGCCCACAACCTGGGCATGTGCCCTTGACTGGAATTGAATCCAGGGCCCTTCAGTCCGCAGGCCAATGCTCTATACACTGAGTCAAATCAGCTAGGGCTCAGCCTTTTTTTTTTTTTTCTTTTCTTTTAATGTTTTTATTGATTTCAGAAAGAGGAAGGGAGAGGTAGAGAGGGATAGAAATATCAGCGATGAGCCAGGACCGGTTTGGCTCAGTGGATAGAGTGTCGGGCTGCGGACTGAAAGGTCCTGGGTTCAAGTCCGGTCAGGGCATGTACCTTGGTTGCGGGCACATCCCCTGTGGGGGTTGTGCAAGAGGCGGCTGGTCGGTGTTTCTCTCTCATCAATGTTTCTCTCTGTCCCTCTCAATTCCTCTCTGTAAAATCAATAAAATATATTAAAAAAAGAAGAAGAAGAAATATCAGCGATGAGAGAATCATCAATCAGGTTGCCCCTTGCACACTTCCTTCTGGATTCCCAGTCTGTGCCCTGACTGGGAATCAAACTATGGCCTCCTGGTTCTTGGTCCATACTCAACAATTGAGCCCCACACTGGCTGGGCTGCACTTTGGGCTTTAACGGACATGCCCTCACCCGAATTAGTCTGTTATATTGAGGTCTTACTGTAGCATCAATAATAAAAGCATCTGCAAAAAATGCAGTAAGGATGCTCTTTTTCTTCTTGTCTAAAAATCATTACAATATAACTTTTAAACATGGAAGACTAAGCCCTACTTTGCAAACATTACTTTTTTTCTTCTTTTTTTTTTTTCATTTGAAGGATGCGAACTCAGGAAAATCTTAAGCGGTTATATGTGGATGCCGTGGATAGTTGCTTCATTTGTCATTGAATTCAGATAAATGAAAGTAACTCAAGTCTAGATTTAATTCTGGTTCTAAGCTATTTTTGTTACAGCTATGGAAGGTATTTGATTAAATTTATTTGGAGCTTAGACTATTGCTTGTTAATATTTGAGATTCATAATGGCATTCTAAAAATCAAGGTTTTAAAAATATTTTATAAAGATCTCATAAGTTTTGCTACTAATAACTGCAGGATAAACCAAGGCTTTCATTTACATATGCATATGAAACATTTTGTGATAGGCATTTGTCAGTTCTTGTGCTACATGTTCCATCAGCTGCTGAGTGTTTTTCTTCCTGCTTTGTGTTATTTTAAGACAAGTAAATAAATTTATGCCATTTGCCACTCTTGCAGATGTAATTTTTTTCATTTTCTGACCTTTAATTTGCCCCCCACCCTCCTTGGAAATGAAGAAATCAAAAACATTTTTAAAAAGTATTTGTGTATGTAGATGCATGTATTCTTGATAGAAGGTTAATTTGGGGTGTGTAGGACAAGGCAGACCTCAAGCACAGAGAGGAAATAGAGATGACTTCATGGCAGAAGGGAACTTGGTTGGCTAGGTAACCTGCTTCGTTCCGTAGAATAGACCATTTTGGTTTGAGAAGATAGACTTCCTGTTAGACAGACAAATCTAACTTGTAATAAATCTTGGAAACTATTTTAGGAGTTATAAGGACTTAGATTAGCAAAGAAAGTGAAGGAGGCCCGGCTGGCATGGCTCAATGGTTGAGCATCCACTTATGAACCAGGAGGTCATGGTTCAATTCCCATCAGGGCACATGCCCGGGTTGTGGGCTGAATCCGCAGTGTGGTGTGTGCAGGAAGCAGCTGATTGGTGATTCTCTCTCATCATTGATATTTCTATTCCTCTCTTCCTTTCTGAAATAAAAAAGTATTTTTTTTAAAAAAAGTGTGAGGGCTGGGACCGGTTTGGCTCAATGGATAGAGCATCAGCTTGGGGGCTGAAGGGCCCCGGGTTCGATTCCGGTCAAGGGCATGTACCTTGGTTGCGGCATATCCCCAATAGGGGGTGTGCAA